TCCCCCTGCTCGGTGAATAGAAGCAGCAACGTCTCCCTTGAAGGAGGCGGCTTCCACTTTGACTCATAGAGAAGTCAGGTTGCAAGGGACCTCTAGTCCCAGCCCCAGCCCGAGGCAGGGTCTTCCCTATCCAAACCGTCCCACACAAATCCGTGGGGCAGGAGCGTTCGCACAGGCCATCAGCACAGAGTAGTAGATGCACGATGCAGCCTCGCCCACGTCTACGCTGCAGTAATTGTTCATCCGTCCTTGCCCTGATTCAGAATGAAAGTGGCCTTAATTCAATTTAGCCAAATTCACTTTGGCGAACGAGCAAGCGAGCCGAGCAGGCCACTGCGAGCTCCCGCTGCCTCCGTTCCTATTAGACGGGTACGTCGCTAACCTCGCTCGGAGGAAGTCAGTTCTGCCGTGCGCGGCCAGCTGTAATTAGGTAGCCGCAGCTGCCTGGATGCAGACTCTGTTGGTTCTCTCGAGTCTGTTGCATTAACGCGTCTAATTGTTTGTACTTGGCGTTTGCAAATATCCCATTCTCTCGTTGCCTATCGGGCTGACGGCTTATTCTGTGTTCCTTTTCCCCTCAATATTGATACAATGATTGTTTGTACTAAATTCCCATAGAAAGGGGGGAGGGGGAGGGCATGTGGAACATTCACCTCCCATTTATCATAATAGCTTGGCGCCTGACAGGCTTTTTTCTGCGGTCTCCAGGATTGCAGCAACGCAGGCTGCCTTCTGTTGTAGGGCACGGCTGTTCTCCCTGCCTCCGTCGCAGCCAGTGCCAGAGAAAAGCTAGCACTTAATAGCAGCTACAGCATGGGCCGCTCGACTGCGCGGGTTGCTTGGTAACGGGAGGGAGGCCTGCCAGAGGGCAAGTGGACTCTGAATTAATGAATGAATGAGAACAGCATCCGGCCTTCTTGCGAACAGGGGGACTTGGCTCGCGAGAGTCGAGCAGCGTGTGCTGTCATGCTAACTGTTTTTTTTTTTAATGTTGCTTTGTTTGAGCTGTTAATGAGCACTTCAGCCCCCTTGAGACAGATCCTGGTTGCAACTGCGCTGCTTACGGGGGGTGGAGATCTCCGGCTGAGATTTTTTTTTTTTTTTTTTTTTTTGGTGATTTATTTCACTTATGAGGCTCTGCCTCTTTTGGCAGACACCGGGGAGCGAGGATTGGAGCTGTTTCCCCACAGTGACTAGGATCGCTTCCCCGGGCATTGTGAGAGAGAGCCCAGAGCATCTGAGCTAAGCTAAGCTAAGCTGCTGGCCTTGAAGCGTTACGAGCGCCGCGTCTCGGGAGACGGCTCGTTTCGTTTCTCGGTGGCCAATTCATACCTGGCCTGGGTTGATGATCAGCTGAAGCTGCTACCCTCTGATCTCTGTTAGGCTCATGTCAAGCGAAATTTCTGTGGTCTCAATCTAGTTCTCAGAACAGGAGTGCCTGCACACAAAACAAATCCCGGGGGATACCCACATCGCCCTTTGCTGGCAGGGCAGCCAAAACGAGCCTTATGGGGACAGAAGCCCTTGCTCAGGCCTGAATAGTCTCCATGGCTTGAGGTATCTTGAGCCATGCTGGCCCGGGCGTGCAGGGCCGTCCTGCACTCGCGTCGTGTCATTGCTTCATTCTCCAGGGCTGTTCATGAAGCACCTCTCCCCAGCGCGGTCGTTATCCACAGAGAAAGCAAGAGGTGCCGTACCTTGCAGGGGACCTCGCATATCCTCTCCACTGTGCATGGAGGAGTATTGAGCAATTCAGTTCTGCGCTCCAGATGCTGCTGAACAAAGCTCAGTAAACAAACTGCATAAGGGAGCAGCTTCCTATCCCTCGTCTATAAATGTCACACGGGTAAGAAATAGCAATAATGACCTGTAGGCTGAGCTCTTCCTGGCAAGCAGCGACCGGCTGGTTTTGCATCATCCTCCAGCCAGTCATTAACTGCCAGGAAACAGCCCTTGTCTTCAACCACCGTGTCTCAGTTTGAAACCGCTTGGGCCTAGAGCTGCCGTCTGTGCTGGGTACCGGACATCCACCTCCTCCCTCTTCAACAGCCTCATTCTCCTCCATTACGACTTCCACAAAGACCAACAACTCCCCTGGTAGCTGCTGACCGAGACAGAAACCTCCCGTTCCCTGTAAGCCCCAATGATGTGAGTGATGCTCCCTGTTGCACACAGCCCTGCCCGCCCCTCCCATGCGAGAGGCCCACAAACGTGTGTTATTTTTTAACAGGAAAGTACAATATCATCAGTTTGTGCCATCGTCCTGATAGGCAGGCCCTGTGCCTCGGCTGGCAGCATTTCAAGGCTCAGTCGGCGGATTTGAGAAACCAGGCTGGAGAAGAGGAGATTTGATGCAAGTCTGGGAAGGCTTCACCTTTCTTCTGTGTTCATTGTCCTAAAGGTACATGCCGTGCAACTAAAGAGAGGTCCCTGCCATTGCATCCCTCTGCAGGGACTTCAACTACTGTATGGGAGAATGTGGAGACAGAGATTGCTGCTCTGAGTCTGAGTGCCATTTTGGGTCTGCCAGAGCCAAGCAGTTCGTTAGGTGAGCTTGGATAAGCCATCAGACAGCAGTGTGGCCAGTGTCACATCTGCCTGCCTTTTGACCCCACCCCAGCCTGAATGGCCAAGTGCCTGCCAATACCTGGGTTGAGTGGGGGGCAGCCCTCAGCAGGGCCCGGAGCAAGGCTTTACATTATGCCTCTGGCGCTGTAGCAAGATATCTTAACTACATCCTGGTGCCCTTCAGGGGGCAGTTCAGGATGATGAAAATTTAGGGCTAACGAGAAACTCCTCTGTCACCCCAGGATATGTGGTAGCTGGAGTCCTTGCCTCACCTCAAAGCCATGCAGGGCACGTCTACACATGCATTAATGTGCTCTAATTCCTGCGCATTAAGTTTAGTACCTGTAATAAGAAGTACTAACTCAATGTGCTGTAGTAGTGCCGGCGCACACCTTTTTAGTGATGTCAATGCTCAGTAGACTCATTTCACTGCAGATTAGCACAATAGCACGGCTGTTGCCATGATGTGCTAATGCTCAGTAGAATGAGTTTACTGCGCATTTAGCGTCTCGTGTAGACGCACCCTCAGCTCTCCAGCTTTGGCCGGTTTCTGCTATGTCCTCATTATCTCTGCTCTGTGTCCTGAGGTTATCCTGTCCGCAGCAGTACCGCCTGGGGCACTGACGTGGCAGTGCCAAGAAGACAAGAGCCCCATTCAGTGCAGGAAGATACTAACCAGGTGGAATATTTTAAAACAGTTTCTTAGAGATGTATTATGTGTTTGTTTGTTTTTTAAAGGGGGCACTTGTTGGCAGTATTATAACCCCTCGCTTGCACTTTCTTCTAGCTGTCTAAAGATGGTGGTAATTTTCTCATGACAAATATTGAGTCTCCTGAGCTTGGTTTCCTGGTGTTTCTCCTCGCACTCAGTTCTACAAGACAGAGTCCCCAGCAAGTCTCTTCAAGGCAGGCGGCTTCTCATTCTCACAGTGTAAGATTCATGTAGCCCTAGACACCGTTTTCGTCCCAGTGAGGTTTTAAAACCTACATACCTCAGTGTTGGAGCTAAGACCTCTCCAAAGTGATGGATAAGACGTGCCCTTACAGGGGCCAGGTCTTTCAAGCACATCTGAAAGCCAGGCCTTTTGAAGATGTCTAAGATTGGGTAACCACAACAGGGGCACCTAAATTAACTGGGCTCTTCTGAAAATGTTTGGCCTTGGGAGAGTTGTCCCAACACCATTCATCTTTGTGCTCATAAATCCCGGTGCCTCTAAGGACTGATGTCTCCTTTGTGTAGTCAGCTAGCAAGGCCAGAGGCAGGAACACAAATCAAGCAGTGCTCTTAACTAAATATTGAACCAATTTCTACACAGGTTTGCATTTGATGCTCTACTCTATAGATCTGTGAGCCCAGCAATTTAGACAACCTATTTCAGTCTATCGTGGCTGAGAGCTGCAGTCGCTGCGACCTGTCATGTCATATACCAGTGGGCCTGCTGACCCAGCCACCTCCCCACGAATCCCATCTCAGCATACTGGAAATGGAGCTCCTGACCTGACGGCCGGGCTCCCCTCCCTGCCCCGTTCCTTACTGAGCTTCCTCTGCTTCCAAGATGCTTCTGTTGAAGCTACAAGACGCGCTGCTCTGGTCAGCACAGCCCGTGTGGCCATCACTGGCTTCTTGGGATCCTGCCAAATACCATCCATGCGTTGTAAAGACAGCATTACTGAATTTTCTTTAACCAGAATGATTGGCTTCTATTGAAGTTTGGACCCCAGCCCAGAAGGCAATAATGGTTGGAGGCTGGAGGAAGAGAAAGGCCAGAAAAAGTGATCTGTAACTAGAAGACGACAGTTTGAGACATTTAAAGCTATTTTAAAATAGAACTTTTAAAAATCTCTATATGCTTCAAGCCTTGGCAAAGTTTTCAAGGTGTGGAGGCGTCTCATGCAGAACAGGGATGGAAATGTCAAGCACTACAGTGTACCAGTGACTGGCTGGGGATAAGGAACTTTCTGCTGGTACACTGATGGCCGTGGGCTCAGGGGTGGAAGTATGCAGGGATGTGATTGTCCCTGGTCACCATTGGTCTGTGGGCCACTGAAAATCCTGCCGAAGGGAGCCTGGCTGTGTGGGCCATGTCCCCCCCCACCAAGAGGCCCCGTCTGGAGGGGAGGAAGACCCTCACTGCTTTGCCCTACGCTGGCAAAAAAGTAGCTCTTCCCCTGCAGGGCCAGCCCCAAACCAAGCAAAGTCTCTCCTGTTCCTCCCCGCCTGTGAATTAGGAGCTGCTCAGCTTGCTCCCTACTGCCTGACTGATGAGCGGGGTCCCTAGCAGTCCCTCGTCCTTCGTTTGCAGAGGCCAAGGGGCAGTACCTGTGACATGGGTGCCTGAAGAAGGAGCCGCACTGAAAGATTGATTCGCTTGACCCACAAGCAGATGGAGGCTGCCAAATGGGAAAGGAAGCAAGAGGTTTCCTGAGTCTAATCATGAGACTTTTATTTCCATTGTGGAGAATAGCAGTGATGGGCTGCCCGTCCCACTCCATAGTACGAAAGGGAGTGTGACTGATGGGCAGGCAAGGTATAGTGGTGCTTATTGGAAACAGGGCAGAAATTAAGGGCAAGTAGCTTTCTTCCCAGCAGTTAGGCTGTTGGCGACCACACAGAAGCCCGACTCTGAGTTCATGCCGTGAGCGTCTTCTCTTGCGATGGAGAGCATATAATTTTGAAGTGGCCGTCCTCAGGGGCAGGGACAGCAGCCCTTGCTCCTAGATGGTAGAAGCTACTGTGACACGGGCTGGTCTCCTGTGTGGCAGCCCCTTGCTCAGGAAAGCAGAAGCCACAGGTCTCCACTGGCTCTGGTATCCTGCTTCCAGCAAATCCATCTCCAGCGCTTCCCGCTTCCACTAAACGATCTGCAAACATAGGACAGGGAACAATAAGTCATGTCATGTCTGGCTGCGGCTGCCGCCTCTGGAGTCAGAGGGGGACTTGTGGCTTCCTCCCCTCCCTTCTGCAACCTTGGGCCCCCTGCCCGCCCCACCATGTGTAGAGCAGCCCTAAAGCTGCTGCCTGCATGGAAGAGCACCACAAGGCAAAAGCTGTATAGGAAACCGAGTGAACAGCTGGAAAGGAGGACCTGGCACTGTGGGAACAGCCTAGGACCCAGCAGAGCCCCTCTGTGCTGGTGGGGTGAACAAAGCTCGTCCTGGGGCATCAACTTCTGCTTGGCCCAGGCCACGGCAGGCTTCGTGGTGTGTTTGCAGCCTGTGAGAGCGAGAATCACCATCCTCTCCCCCTCGGGCCCCCAGCATGAGTGCTCTGCTTCTCCCTCCCTTTGGCTGCAGCCAGGGAATGGGGGCACAGGGAAACTAAGTGACTTGCCCAAGGTCACACCAGGGAGTCTGGCAGAGTAGGGAGTTGAACCTGGGCCATCTAAGTCCTGCATTGGCCAGTCTCCAAAAACACCGTGACTTTGCGAGTCTGTCGTAGTCTCATCCCCTTCCTTACCTCTGCAGTGGCTTTACTTGGCACAAGCTTTCTCTCTGCAGCCTGGTTCTCAGGACAGGGACATTCCTGCCCTGTGAGGGCACAGGCCCCCAGGAGCTACCGTGGTGCTTTGCAGGGGCGGGGTTCAAAGCAAGACCCCATGTTCCTGCAAACAAGCCTGCTCGCAGCTCAGCCGGAGCTGTGGGGCCTGGCATGGCCACCACTCAGCACCTGGCTCTGCCTTTGAAGGCCCTGGGAGCTGGGCAGATGGAGCAGCTGCCCCATCCGGCCTGCTACAAGGGACCAAGAAGCCATTGTTCAGCTGGGTCCCTGCCAAGTAAATGCTAGTCCTCCTGCGAGCTGCCCAGACTGAGCAAACGGGATTGCTACCATTATTAGAGCTCAGGCTCTTGATGGCTGCCTGGCTGCTTAATTAGAAAGGAAGAGACAGACTTGTTCTTTACAACTCCTCATCCCTGGGACGGGACCAGCTGTCGGCCAGCCGGTGCCAGCCACCAGAAGGAGAAGCCAGCAGTGCCAACCAGGCACACATCAGTCACTGCCATTGCCTAACCATTGGGCTGCTGCAGAACCATGGGCTGGATTTCCTGGGGAGGAGAACTTGGAGCTCGCAGCCTGGGGGCTGAGGTTGTCTTACCCCTGGAGTCTTTACCACAGGATTAAACGTCTCTGAATCTTTAATGCCCAGCTATAACACGGACCTCACCTGGGTGGCGCAGCTCAATCTATTAATGTTTGTATAAAGTGCTTGAAAGCTTTGTGTGCTTAGGGCAGTAGCAGAGCAAAGGGCAATACTCACCTGATTACGGCAGCACCAGGCCATGTGTGAGCCTGCTGCACACTGAGCTGTGGCAGCATTTGTGTCAGGCACATGCATCAACTATGGGGGGGTGGGAGCCTGAACATGTAATTGCTCATCTTTGGTGGGGTTTCCCTGGTTGTTCTCCAAGGTGAGCCACAAACCACCTCCTTGACTCTCTCAAGAGGTTTTTGTTGCACCTCATTCATTGAACGCTGATGATTAGGCCATGCCCTGTGCAAATAGCTCCCTTAATAGTGATTAGCAGAGCAAAGGGCTCCAGGAGAGAGCCAGAGATCTTGAAGGCTGGCACAGGAACAACTGAGGTCCAGAAAGTCTGTGTCTGGGCCAGAACTGAGCATCAGAGCCCAGGGTTAGCCCCAGATCTGCGTGCTGGCATGGCCCTCAGTGCTGTATTATTGGAGCCTCCGTACAGGAACCCAGGGAGATGGGATATGTGCTGCGAGGAAAGGCATCTAAACACTGTGACGTGCCTGACATCACACAGGGAGTCCAGGATTTGAATCCCAAGCTGGTGGCCCCAGGCCAGTGCTTCCCCCTCTGGTGCTGCCCTCCCAGGTATCTGCAATCTGGGATTCACAGTCAAGCTCCTGGACTGCTGTCATAGCAAATGTCCCTGAGCACAGTGCTGGGGGCAGTTCTCTGGCTTGTGTTACGTAGGAGCTCAGAGGAGCATTAAGGGTCCCTCCTGGCTGTAAGTCTATGTCCAAGACCTCATGCTGGCATTAGGAGCAGATGTAGTTAGAGCACCTGTATCCTCCACCCACCCCAGATGTGGTGCAAGAGCCAGCCCTTTGCTACCTGCCTGTATCAGGCTTCAGCTGTGCCCTGTTTTGCCCTTGGACTCTGCCACAATGTCCCCCTGCCCTCCAGCAGCTGGCATGTACCTTTGGATGAATCCTCTCTCTTGTGGCATGGCCCGGGGCCTGGTTGGCAGGAGACCACTTCCCCCTTCCTCCTGAAGTGGGTCCAGCCCAGCAGCAAAGAGCAGATGAGGATGCAGAGGCAGAGGCCCAGCAGCAGGTAGAGCACAAGCCACTGGTCCTGGTCACTGCATGGCCTCCGCTCCACAGCAACCACAGCGGATGAGGTAGTTACCAGCTTATCTGAAAGTCATTGGGACAAGCAGCACATCAGCGCTTCCCAGCACTGGGCAAGAGGGGCTAAATTGCGCTGGTGCTTGGAGGGGTCCGAAGCAGATGCAGGGAGGGTGTGGAAGTGATTAGAGGCATTGCGGTTTGCAGTAATCATATCAGAGCCAGCCCCTCTCTCCCCCTGGGTGAGACCTGCAAGGACTCTTCATGCACCCACCTCCCAGTGGGGTTGCCCCTGTCACTCCCACCCAGGCTGGCAGACACCAGCAAAGCCTGCCTGGGTACAGCCCCTGGCACCCCCACCTCCACCCAACAGAGCCCAGAGCATGGCCAGGGCTGGCGGCAGCCTCACCGCTCTCGCAGAAGGAGATGCACTGGATGGGGTGCCGCCCGCAGATGTCAAAGCAGCTGATGCATTTTCTCAGGAGGGCGTCGTAGTAGGAGCCGGCGCGCTCGCTGCATTCCATGGAGGCTGCAGGCGGGAGGGAGACAAACACGCTCTGCTGAGCCCGTCGCAAGAGGAGCTCCTGCGATGCTGGAGCCCAGCTCTGCTGGTCGGAGGCAGCATGCTCTGAGCAGCACGAGCACTGCCAACTCTTGAAAAGTTACCCTGGTGCCTGCTGGTTCCTCCCACCTGAGGCCCAGCCCTGGCGCCAGGTGAAGATAAGATGGCCTCTGCCTTTTGTTTAAGTCCAGCCTGAGCCCGCCAGTGGCAGAAGGACAAAGGAAGGCTCATGTTTAAAACCTTGGGATACCTCATCCTCACTCTGGACTTTGGAGGACCTAGCTCCTACTCTCCAGTCTCAGGGACCAGATCCCTTGTTGTGGTCTTCAGCCACGGGCTGAATCGCTGGGAAAGGGAATGGTTTAACAGAGCAAGAAGAGAGTGGCCGGGGAGAGTCCTGCACCACCCCACCAGCGCAACCTTCTCCCAGAGCTGCCCCGGGGCAGCCAGAGCCCTCCCTGCAGCCTGCCGTCGCTCACCTCTGCAAGAGAGAGCAGAGCTCCTGCCACTGCCCGGCAGCTGGCGGAAGGCACGTGCAGGCACTCCAGTACCCTGCCCTGCCTGCTGCAGCTGGTGCCTGCCCAGGGCGCGCGTCAGCCCTGCCACACAGCTGGAGATGCAGGGGCAGGCATGTGCCATGTGGCAGCTGGCTGTTGGCAGGACCCTGCCACGCTGGACAAGGCAGGTTTTAGTAACAGAGCCCTTTTGCCAGTGGTAACCTCAGCAAGCTGCCAGGTCCGAGACCCCCCGGGCTCTGGTTATTAGTGTTATCCCCACACCCCTGAGAGACTCCATCCAGACACGGGCTCTGGTGATCTCCTGGCCCAGCTCCGCACTGCCTCTGTGGCTGCCAGCTCCCTGTTCTCATGCTCAGAGGCAGGTTTCTCAGGAGAGGACTGGACCCAAGGACCCTACAGCCACGTCTCTGCCCTGCAGACTCCTCCCTTTGGGGCTCTTGTAGGGGAGAGCAGTCAGAGGCTGCAGTAAGCCCCGGCCTGTAGTGGAAGGGGCATGGCTGGGAGGGAGGAAGGGGGATTGTGCTTCCTGCGAAGTTTTGTCTCATTGCTGTCTTGAAAACCTGGGCTAGAGTTATCTGAGAACTTTGCCTGAGTCTACTTCCCAGGCCAGCCCCAGCCCTAGCCCCACCTGCTCCTTCAGAGCTGCTATTTTTCACGGCGTTTTTGGCCCCATCCTCTGCAGGACAAAGCCACTGGCACAATACAAAGGGCTGAGACTCCTCGGAGCCTTTCACTCCAGTCTGCATCGCGCAGCAGTGTCCCTGGGGTAAGTGCCCGACCTCTCCAGTGCCCACGGCCAGTCTGCAAGCCCGGCCAGTTGGCTCCCCGAGCACTCACCACAGAAGGCAGTGCATCGCTCGACTGTGGACCCTTTGCAAACAAGCCGGCAGGAGGTGCATTGGCACAGGAGCTTGTCCCAGTACTGCTGATCTGTGCAATTATTCATGGCCTCCTGCCTTGCACCCAGCAAAGGGACGTCTGCAAAACAGAAGGGAAAAGAAGATAGGGAGATGTCCCAGAGCCGGCAACCCTGGCCTCTGCTAGGGAGCTGCCTGGGTCATGGGCACTGACCCACTTCCTTGGGGAAGCTTGTGTGGCCCTGACCAGTGTCAGTCTAGGCACCACTGAGGTCCCTGAATGTGGATCACCACAGAGTTAAATGGAGGGACTAGACTCCCAACCCTTTTATTTGTTCTCCGTAGGACTGTCCAAGTTGTATCACTGGGGAGGACTACCCAGTTCACACTGCAGCTGCTGCCATCCCATCCTGATCAGGGCTCAGAGACACAGGAGTTGGTATGTAGCGGAAGGGAACGGTACAGGGGGAGCAGCTGGGGAGACGGAGGTAAGTGTGGCTAGAAGGGTTTGCTTGAGGCAGGGCTTTTTTTTGCTGCCGGTCTCTACCAAAGCACAGTCTTCCCTGACCTCCTAGCGGAGCCCATGGAAATCCCCCCGGGAAGGCATGCTCTGAAATGATGCTGACATCTGCAGGGCATCATCGCTGTTTTGAAATGGGATTTCTGAAAAACGTCAATTTCAGAAAAAAAACCTCCTGTTCTATTGACGTTTTCACCCAGATTTATTCCTGCCTGACTCAGAACAAAACCCCTTTGGGGAAGTGTCAAACACACCCCGTGAAATGGAAACTCCGGCGACCGAGGGCCTGTCAAGAAGATGGTGCACAGGGAGAGACGAGCCGGGGAAAAGTGGGGACAGCAATGGCTGCAAGAGGTGCCCAAGACCGGGCTATGGCCTTGCTCTCAGTGAGCAGTACAGCAAGCTGCTGGACTTTTTAATGCACAGCACCTTGTAAATGAGGCTCTTTTCAGGGAGATGAATAGCGGCTTCCTGGGCATTAGTGAGCTCTGGTTTTGCTTTGCCCCTTCCCCTTGCTGTGAGCCATGGGTCCCTGGCATGTGGCCTCTCCGGTTCTGTGGACAGGGCTTGCCTGCAGTATCCAGAGGACACTGCACGGCCCCGCATACGTGTGAGAGAAGCTGGCAAAACCCAGCCTGCATGAAACCCTCTCCTTGAGCACTGCACACCCTTGGCTCAGACCTGGCCGCACACTGGCACGGACATGCCACAGTAACAGAGCAAGGACCATGGCTGTAAGCCCTGGGCTTCTCCCTGCGGGGCACTGTCCTGTCTACCACCGCAGCACCTTGCCATGAGGACAGACAGCACCAGGAGCCCATGTATGCCCCTTACACACAGCAGGGCCAGCGTCTCTCTTAGCCAGCAAAGCTTTTGCAGCATGCCTGTGGCCCTGGAGGGCTCCCAGCTTTCCACTGGATGTGACTGAGGTTAAAAGTGGCAAAAAAGGACAGGGCAGTCCAGCGAAGGGTTGACAACTTCACACTGAAAGGATGGGGCAGACACCAGGCACTTTGTCAGTGGAGCACCAGGGAGCACTTGAATACAAAAGCCTTGTCCATGCTGGCTTTTCCAGGGGACGAAGCAAAGGGGAAACTTGTGGCTGGGGATCTGCCTGGAGCGTCTAACATCAGACCCCTCGGCGTTGCCAAACAGCCCCCTCCAGGGCCAACCCGGCAGGACGGGGTTCCCCTAACACCCCTGGACTTGCAGTAGTGACAAGGCCATACTACCCTTTCTTTCACACTCACAGGCTCCCAGGAGGCCAGCACCCCGCAGCTGAGCACCTTGGGGTCCTGTCCTGCCACTCCCTGAGGAGCAGCCCCTCCTCAGGTGTATGAGGCCCCTGGTGTGATGAGGCTGGGCTAAGTCCCAATAGTTGCCCCCATTTAAGGGGTCAAGTCTCTCCCTGTCGATGGTGCCTGTGCAATGCACTGCGTAAGGGGATGGGTGGGTAGGGAGGGTGTGAATCGGACTTCCTGTACTTCCCTGCAACCACCATTGTTCGCATTTAGCATCTGCTAGGTGCTGTGACAAGATGGTCCCCGGGGAGGAGTTTGGACTCCATGAGACTAACACCATGAGCTGTGCTGGCTGGACTCCACCACGTGGGAGCTGGTCCCTGAGCCTGGCTGAGAAGCCAGCTGTCTTGACCGTGAGCACAGCACCACGTGGGGCTGCATGCGTGAACATGACTGTACCAGGTCTAAGACCAAACCAGAAATGAGGCCTCTCCTTGGGACATGAACCCATGAGCCTGTGGCTGAGCCCAGCTGCCAGTCTCTAAAGCCAAGCCCCCAGCTTGCCCTGTCGTTCCGTGGGAGATGGGGGAATCTCTGTCTGGTCTTTTCTCTCTGAAGTGGCTTGTTCAGCAGCAGCCGAACAGCGGCTTGTTTATCCCGCCTGGTCACCCAGCTGGGGCTTTCAGTTTGCAGCCTAGCCGGGGAGTTCAGCATCCCACCCCTTCCCAGTGCCTATGAGCTCCAGCATCACAACCCCCTTCTCCCCCCCCCCCTGCAAGAACTCGTGGTTCCAGAAACCTGCTACATGGTTGACTCTGTACGGCAGCTTTCGACTCGGTGGTTCGACCACAGCAACCAGCAGCCGCTCTTGACCTCTGAAGTGCTTTGTCCTTCTCTATGAGTAGAGCTGGGGCTGGAGCCCAGGTGTCCCACCTCCCTGGTCTCCCCCTCTGTCCTCTTCCAGCCAAGTCCCCTTGAGCTCACTGGGCACTGGATCATCCACAAGAGACACCAACAGCACGTGGGCCTGAGCATCCCCCTGGCATCGGGGCTGAGCACAACGCTGGGGTGATGCCATTCCTCCCTTGTGAGGAGAGCAGATAGAGGGCAGAGAGAGCTGAGCCCTGGGTTGTCTTTGGTTCCTGCAGCCTGAGAAGTAGTGAGAACGGTGTCCCCCCTCCATCCCTCGGGGCACCTCGCTGTGACCGCACGGCACGTTCTTTCTAGGATCCTGCCCAGGGCTGTAAGATGGTGAGCTGCAAAGTGGGACAGACTGCACCTTGAGACCTCCTGTGATCTTGCCAAGCACATAGCCCCGCAGGTCATCCCTGGGTCCTCTTCCATTCCCAGTCCTACTGGAGCCCAGCCCCGTCCCATGCTGCCCAATACAGGAAAAATCAAGCAGGTAACTCACGTTTAGCCTCCTGGCGGAGTTTAGTCTACCTCAGCTTCTGCCATCTCACTGTGACCCTGGTCTCTGAGCCTGCTCATTACTCAGGCGGTTTATTATTAGAGTTCGATTTGATTAGAGCCTGGGCCACGTGCTTCCTGGGGTTTCTCCCCATTGATGCTTAATGCAAATGATCCTTTCGTGCAAGTTATACTCCCACAAATTGTATTGACTTGTGGATGGTGGGTCAGACAAGGCCTGGTGGCAAAAACCTCATGCTTCTGCAAGACAAACAGTGACAACAGGCAATGTCAGCCATGAACTTAGGCTCCTACAGGTGGTCTGCGTCCTTGCGGAGATTGGTCAATGCACGTGGAAAACATCTCAAATGGATCAGACCAAATTCTTGGGGAGACTTGTGCTAGCATGATGTCTCTGTGGGGTCTGTCTGTCTGTGCACTGATGCCCCTTCATTGGGAGCTAATTATTTTTTCTTTTTATGAGACTTTCTTTTAGGGAATGGCTGAGCAGTGGTGGTGGGGGAAATTCTCGCTGTGCTTTTTCAGCCGGTGTGCCACAAATTAGTCCCGCACCCTCCCCGAGTGTCCATCCAACCTCTTGCCCTTATCCCATGTGTTGGGTTTTTTTCTGCTTCCTGCCATGTGCTCTCAGCCTGATCTGCTGCTCTGCTTTTTGTTCCCTGCCCTACCTGCCAGTGTGCTGCCTGTCCTCCCCAGTCTGCTGTGTGCCACACACGGAGTCTCTGCGCTCGTTCTCTTTGCTTTGCCTGGGGGCACCAGACTGTCAAGTAATCAGTGCCTGCAATTGCAGCCAGATTTTCAAAAGAACTCGGAATCCAAGATGCCACTTACTTTGGTGCTTAACAAGGAGATGTGAGCCCTAATTAAGCCCATTAAGCGTTGATGGAAAGAGCTGCCAAAGGAAGCCATTTTCAATGCATGGGAAGTTTTATCAGTGCTACAAAACCCGGGAACTAAAGTACGTGTTGTGGAGCGCATATGCTGACACTTCATCGTTTGCATGTCTACCGACACTGAGCCCTCGCTCCTAACCAGTCCTGATTGTGCTCACCTGGACATCTGGCCCTTAGAGGAGAGAAGGCACCAGCCACTGCAGCAGGGGATGCACTGTATGGTGAAGACTATCACATCATCCAACACTAGTCAAAGGGTGACTGTAGGAGTGTTTTTTACTATGCTGGTTGCATCCGCAGCTTGTCTGGAGCGCTGTTGCAGTAAGGGGATTCCTAGCAATGGTGGAAAACCGTCAACCAAAGAACATCTAGGGTAGCCTCGTCCTAAGACTCAAAAGGGAGGTCAAGCACTGGTTGGTCTCGTGCACCCATTCCAGTACGACTCTGCTGTCATCAGATATGAAACACTCCTTTGTCCCAGTATGCCCTGGACCACGTGCTGCACCCCTGATGAATTTGGGGTGCTAATTGCTACCACAGTTGTTGTAAAGAGCATGTGAGGAAGCTCCAGATAATCGCTCCAGGATGCTGCTCTGGCCTGCCAGAGTCCCGGCCTGAATGGAAGGAAGAGATCTTAAACCATACCCCACGTCATCATCTCCCTTGACTCAGCCACGTAACGCGCTTCTGAAACAGAGAAGTTGGCCAGAAAGGGCAACACTTGACTTCTTCAGAAAATCCTGATTCACTACACCCGATGCCTCCCATGGGAAAAGAAGGGGAAATGTCCATCAGCGTTTAGTTGCGAGGCTTCTCAGAGCCAGGATGGAGGGATTTTCTGGTGGAGGGATGGGAGGAAACTGGGCAGGGCTCCCTCGCCTGATCCACTCTGCTGGGCTCAGAGCAGGGACTTGCAGCTGGCTCTTCCATCTGCTAAATAAATGGCCAAACCCCTGGGCTATGGGCTGTTGTGGAGTTTCGCTCTCCCTTTATCTTTCCCCCTCACTGGGGTAGATCTAGATGTTGAGACATCTACATTGCCCCATTAAATGACCAGTGGGGAAACTGAGGTATCTGCTACCCTTTGTTCCCTCCTGGGGGTGTGATTCAGTCCAGAGGAGTGGCAGGCTGAGCCCACGTCTGTACTGACACACTCACGCTCCTCTAAATGCCCCTGTCCCAGGTCCGATGCCCTCACGGTTATCTACTGCTTCTCCTCCTCTGCCTTAGCATCTCCAGCTCTGCAGAGCTTTCAGCTCTGTTCTCCTTGCCGCTTCACCAAGGTGACCAGCCAAGCTGTGACCCCAGAGTTGCCGTCTCAGGTGATTGATGAAACCTGAACTGCATGGCTTGATTTTCAGAGAGCAGGTGATGTTGGCGCTGCTGGGAGCTGCCAAACCCTCTGGTTTTCCCATGTCCATGGAAGGAGTCTAACGGGCAAGTCTGTGATGAAGCATAAATGTGACCCCTCCGGCCCTGTGTTTCCATCGACACCATGGCTACGTGTTTAAAAACCCGTCCTTCATGCAGACCATGCTGTGGTGGTCTGCAACTCGCACTGGGGGTGTCAGGGCAATGTGTAAGCACGGTCCACCCAGCAGAGGGGCTGGCCTGCAGTCCCTGACATCCAGGGGACCAAATTCCTCTGCGTTAATCAGAACCAATTGCACCAGGCTCAGCCAGCTTCTCTTCTCTGAAGTCAGACTCAAGGCTTTGCATTTTGCTTTTCCAGGCATCACACCTGCCAAGTGCTTCGCCCACCTGGGGAAGCCCCTCCTGCCTGGCACTTGGTCGCGTGAATGCCCATTGGACACTGACTAGGAACAAGCCCTCTGGCTCTCGGGTCCTGCTGGCCTTGGCTATTCTGCCCCAGCTCTTCCTTCACGCGGGCAGCCAGGGTCCTTCTCAGAAGTGACTCAGTGCAGACAGCTGTGTCTCAGACTTTGTCTGCAGACCAGGGCTGGGGAGCGGGGAGACTGCACAACATCTTGCTTTCTCAGAACCACCTGCGGGGAGAACAAGGTTGGTTTTTTCCACTCTGTTTAACCCCCTGCTCTGCACCTGACCTCAGCACTTGGGGCTTGCTCTCATGGCTGGCGCGCAGCCCTGGCGTTAGCAGCCAAGCGCTCCATCTCCTCTCTGCCTCGTGTGCCTCCCGGTTGGTGCCATCTGGGTAACTTTGCACCGGCTCTTGATTCGGGGAGCAAGGCTTCGATGCCTGCTGGTGGGTGTGGGGCTGCCTGTGCCTGGATGGCTGCTACAGCCTCTCAGATGGGGTGTTGGGGAAGGTGGTTGAGAGAGACAGTGGCATTTCTGCACCTACAGGCAGCTGTCCCCGAGCGTGGTGAGTTGCCTTGGGCTGTGTAATACAAGGCCTTGCCCTTCTACCCACTCTGAGGCATCTCCTCCCGCCTGGCTGCTTGCGGGGCAGCTCTCTGCTTTTGTCTACAAGCTCTGGGGCAGACAACAGGTGGTTTCTCGTTGCAGCAGCCTTGTTCTGGAAACTGTCCCAACTTCGTCCCCCAGGCGAAGCAAAGAGAACGAGCGCGGAGACTCCGTGTGTGGCACGTAGCAGACTGGCGAGGAGAGGCAGCACATTGGCAGGTAGGGCAGGGAGCAGAAAGCAGAGCAGCAGAGCAGATGTTGAGTCCATTTGCGACCAGTTCCTGCTGCCCTGAGCTGCCCGGGGGGCCGGTGCTCTCCTCGGCCCCAGCCGTAGGGTTTCGGGGGCCGTAACACGGTCCCAGGTGGGAGCTGTGGTGTCCTGCCCCCAGGGACTGGCTGCTCCTTTAATAAGAATTTTCATTTTCTGACTCAACTGAAAAGAGCGGGCTGAGGTTTTGCTTTCTTCCCTCAGTTACATCCACTGCAGGCAACAAGGCTGACGGGAAACCAGGTCCCAATGCTTAGAAATGTGGTCCCAGCTGGGCGGTGAGGCCTGACTCTGCCCCATGCTGAAGCTTCCAGCCCTGCAGTCTGGAGACGGGCGCTGGCAGGCCTTGCTCCAGCTCTCGCAGAGGCTGACGGGACTTAGCGCTGGCCTGATGGATGCCAGAGGAGGCTTTGGGATTGCGCGTTTAGGGGCGAAGAGGAAAGATGGATTGCTGTCCCAGGAGAGACTGCCCGATGGCCCCCTCCCAGTGCCCGCAGGCATGCAGTGCTCCCCATGGGAGGCTGTCTTGTGGCTTTGCGCATATTCACGGCAGCTGGGCAATGGACATGGATTGTGGGACGGGGGCTTGGGGGGAAAATGGGGTCTCAGACAAGCAAAAAATCAAGACCCTTTGCAGGCCTACCAGGAGGGCAAGCAGGGGCCTGGTGGGACTTTACTGCTGGGCAGTCCCTGTGCTGCCCCCACTCAGGTTATTACTGCAATTCTGGTGCTATTCAGTATTTTCCCTTCAATCCCCAGCTCCTGGAGTCAGGGGGTCACTGGAAGCTGCTGTTTTCTTCAGCACTAGCAGGCAAGGCCCAGGCCTCCTGCCTGTCGTGGCCTCTCACAGCTGGGACCCCAGAGAGCAGAGGCACAGGACCCCACAGCTCCTTTTCCAGCAGCTCCTGCTTTTCCAGATGCCCCCATGGCGGGAGCTAGAGCTGGGCCGATTCCCCACGAAGAGTTGTTCTGCTGAATGACTAGAGGGCGCAGGGGGCAGGGGTGTACTCCTCCCCCTTTTCCTCCCTTTCAGTGACTGAGGTTTTAAAGCTGGCTGTAAATAGCAGCCAGCAAGTCACAGTTCCCACCCTCCTGAGCCCTCAAGGAGGAAGTGAGAGGTACTCTGCACAGATTTTCTTCTCTCTGAGCAGGAGCCTGGCAGGCTGCCTTCAGCCCAAATTCCTAAAAGTAACCCCCACTCCTCCCCCCCCATGCACACACAGCAGCTCCTCCCGCGTACGTGACCCCCTGCCCCAATCATGTAGACAGCCAGCACAACAGGCCCAGATGCACATGTGTATCCATTTGAGCACATCTCAATGTGCTCTTCTGCACACAGTGCCGTAGCAAAGGGCAAGGTGGGGAGTGGGGCGACTGCCATGGGCATCAAAGCGAAGGGATGTCAAAAGGCACTGCCCAGCCAAGGTAGGGCGTAGGATGGAGCCACGAGCGGCTCATTTTGGGGGCGCGGCGA